CTGACTACTTAAATTATTCAGGAAAAGGGCAAGAGGTGATTTGGTAGAAATTTTTAGGTTTTGTTTTCTTTTGTTTTTTAATGGTAAAAGACTTTCTAACCTAGTGAAAAAACGGGAGAGAGAGAATAAAAGTTACATTTTTTCCTATAGGGAGGTTAAATACCATTGAAATAACTGGCCTAGGGCTGTGGTATGTAATCTTTACTGAAATCATCAAGAGCAACTCTGTTGAAACACAGAAATTCGGGTTTTGTCAAGATTTAGTTGAAGGACCCCGTTTTTTTCCTGACTGTTGGTATTTCAGTTTATCAGGAGCTGCACTGACTACAAATCTAGCCTAAGTTACAAATTCCATTATAAAATCAAATGAATGGTATGACTGCATTATTGATCGTTAGATTTTGCATAACTTTTCAGCAAAAAGAAGCAATTCAATCTTGAAATTTTTATAGCAGTAATATTAAAAGTTAAAAATATTAACATTTAGTTTTGCAGCTGTCAAAAAATCTATTGCTAAAATGACTGGGGCTGTATGATCTGTTCACTGCTGCTGCTTTTTCTGAAGAAATTTCAGATACTACAAATATTTTGGATAAAACCACTGACTTCTGAAGTGTTTTAACACCTCTCTAGTTCAGTACATGATGCTGATAGAAATAATGGAAGAAATTCTTATGTCGACTTCAGGTTGAACTCATTAAAATTCATTCTCATATATGTCAAGTGATTTATCCACCGAGATCCACAAGAATGAGTAGACAGAGCAATACTGTGCTGTGTTGTGTGTATGAAATGTTGCTGCTCTTGTCGTCGTTTTTACAGGGTAAAATTCTCTACAAAGTACGATGGAAGGGATACACCTCTGATGATGATACCTGGGAACCAGAGATTCATTTGGAAGACTGCAAAGAAGTGCTGCTTGAATTCAGAAAAAAAATTGTGGACAATAAGCCTAAACCTGTTAAAAAGGACATACAGGTGTGTTTCACCTTTTGGTATTGTATATTGAAGGCATCTTCCCCATCTAGGCTCTGGTAATGGCAGGAGGGAGAAAGGACGGCACTGGATATGGAATTAGGGAAGATTTAAATCTCTCCAGTCTGAAAGTGTTTTGTGCTTCAGGTGAAACTGAGTATTTCTGCTGCTCTGTGTTTAGGGAATTTGTTTGAATTGACGAGTTCACTTACAGACTCTAAATCCATCTCACCTTTATTTTGGTGTTTAATGGGACTATGTAAGTAATAGATGATCATTTTTATTGGTGTTCCAACAACATAAGCAGCCGCCTTTCCCTTTCCACACATACATTGTTGTATTCCTGAAGCTGGGTGCTTTGCTCAGTTCCCCTTTCTGCTTCATATGGAAGAAGATGATGGCTTTTGCTTGTTAAATCTTGAATTAGATGAGGCGGGAGTAAAGGAAAAAAAATTAATTGCAAGAGTAAAGCATGTAGCCTTTTCCTGAAGCTGGGTGCTTTGCTCAGTTCCCCTTTCTGCTTCATATGGAAGAAGATGATGGCTTTTGCTTGTTAAATCTTGAATTAGATGAGGCGGGAGTAAAGGAAAAAAAATTAATTGCAAGAGTAAAGCATGTAGCCTTTTTTTTTTTTTTTTAAAGAACTGTTCGATTAGCTTCAAAATCATGATTAAGAATCTTTTTTTGAAAGCTTGTACCCAACTTCTGGGAAAGCTGTAGATAATTTTTCAAAATCAAGTTAATTGGTTTTGATGTCGAAGAGAGTCAGATTGAGTTCTTTTCCGGTATCTGGCTCTGGGAGTCTGGTTGATCTAGTTTGCTCATGTGTTGATTCTGTTTCAAGCAGTTACTAGTGTGATTTAGCTAAATGAGATGCAATTCATAAACATTACAATTCTACAATTTGGCAATGAAGAATGATGTTTGCAGTGTTTAAAGACGTTGACTTTTTCCCCTCATCCTCACTACTTGTAATCATAATCTCTGTGGGTTTCATTTTTGTTTACGCTTAAGTTATACGGCTTAATGGGGAAATAAATCTTTTTTTTTTTCCCTATTTAATAATGATGTGTTTGAAGCAGAATCTGACAGTGACTGGCAAAGTGAAACAAAAGAAGATGTTTCACCAAAGAAGAAAAAGAAAAAGTCAAAAGATGGAGAGGATAGAAGCCCAGATGATCTGAGGAAGAAAAAGTCTAAGTCTGCAAAACTCAAAGAAAAACCCAGAATAGAACGTGAAAATTCTTCAGATAGTTTGGTTTCGGATTCAAAACCGAAAAAAAGGACTTCAGAAAGCAGGGAGGATTCAAAAGATCCAAAGAAGCAAAAGAAAGAAGACACTAAAGAAGTCAAGAAAAAGAAGGGAGAAACTAAAGATTTAAAACTAAAATCTAAAGAGGACTCTAAAGAAAATAAAAAATCACGGAAGGAGAAGCATGGAGACCTTCAGTTTGACTCGGAATCAAGTACTTTAGATGATGCATTTTCTCAAGGAGCTGATAATGAAAATTCAGACTTATATTCTGAAAATAAAGGGGAGAAGCAAAAGGTAAAAAGTGGAAAGGAGAGGCTGGAACAAGAAATTGCTGAGAAGGATTCAATATCTGATAGGCATCTTGATGGATCAGCAAGTAATGAAGATGATAGTATTGAAGTTAAGGTTAAAAGAAAGAAGAAAAAACTTCAGAAAGTTGAAGATTATAAAGAGGAAGGTAGAAAAGTGGAGACTAAGGATACCTATTTAGAGAAGAAAAGCATGCACAAAAGGCAAAAAAGTCAAGAAAAAGTAAAAATAGTTGCTGCGGAGGTGGAGAAAGTGTCACCTGTTCCTGCACTGGTGCAGAAAGGCTTAAAATTGGGCACTGATGAAAGAGGACGCAAATCAACCGATTCAGCTGGGGAGGTAAGCAATGTCAACGCATCAGGGAGCAGGGGAGGAAAGGTGGATGTTTACCTCAGGCAGATACTTGAGGGACGTAGGCTGCTGTTTCTGGTTTCTAAGAGAAAAATACAAGTTGGAAAGTTTATGAGAAAGAAAAGAAAGGTAAGACCCCCTGTGCAGTCTGTGGGGAGAGACTGAAAAATTTCTGGATTCTGAACACTATGAAGGAGGGAACACCTTAGGAGAGAAGAGTGTCTTTAAATGTGATCTGAGTGGATACAAGGTATTGAAGGAAAGAGGCACATTATCAGAGGTGATCTTAAAGTTGTATTCCAAAACCAAGCTTATATATAATCAGTTTTTTTCCAAGTGTCCAGAAAAGTAAGAATTTATCCTGCTTGTTATGTTTATTTACTCAACATGAAATTTACTGGTTCTGCAAATATGTACTGTTACTTTTAGCCTCTTGTTTCCCCTGCCTTCCACAAATGCTTCAGTTTGACTTCTTTCCACTTGTATAGTCTGCTTGTACGGTAAGGCATTCATTCTTCTAGCGACTATTCATCCAGCGTTGCACAGCGAAGTGCACTTCTGAGGTAAGACGAACACTTGATCTTTCTCAAAAGTCAATCAGTCAGCACCTACCTAAGAACTGGAATGCTGAAATTGCTTCTGAACTCAGGTCTCCCAGGTAACTGTGCAGGTGGCTTGTCTTGCCAGAATTTCTGTGGTGTATATACAAGATGCTTAGTTTCATGACTTGATTCTGTATTGATTACAAATGTCGTATAGGCTCTAAGTAATCCAGTCACTGGTTAGCGTATTTCTTATCTTTATCCACTGAGGACAATATTGTTTTCAGAAAAATGGGGTGGTAAAAGAAAAAAAAATGTGTAGGTATGGAAAAAATTGAAGCAATATTTCTAGAATATTTCTGAGGAAAAGATACTTTCGGGGGGAAAAAAAAAATTTTCAGCTGCTTGAAAATGCCCTAATACAGTTTGCAGTTTCAAAAATTTTGTTGGCTGCACAGAGGAAACCACTTTCTGATTTATAACAGGATTGCAGCCAAAATACCTTGAAACTTACTAGATTGCATTCTGCTTTCCTGAGGTCATACTTCCATGGCAGCAAGTGTTTCATTTCTGTAGGTTCAGCTGTGGTCCTCTGCTTAAGACTGTTGTATGTATAGAGTAGGCCACGTTAAGCATAAGCAAATTGATTTTTGGATAGAGAATAGAAATGTTACATGTAGTTGTACTCCAGAATTACTCCGTAAAATATTATTTTGCTGGAGCTTAATGGTGAAAGCTCTTGTAAACAAGGCTAAGCAATAGCTATGAGGCATAGCCACGTCTCAAAAAGTTATTTAAATAACTCTCCCGAGTATATTAATTCCTGAAATTGCATGGCCTTTTCTTATTCCAAGTATTTTTATCATGGTTTGAGGCAATAGTATTCATTAGAAATATCTGATTATAATCACTGATTTCTGCATCTTTGGAGTTCTGTTTTATTTACCAGCGATATAAAAATCCTGTCTCCCCAAACATGAAAAAAATCAGATGAAAATGTGTCTGCTTGTGACTTTTCAGCGAGCACAGCACCGTCAGTAAGCTGTAGGTCTTTCTTATGGTTGCATTCCTGGAGCTGCTGTAGATTGGATGTGCCAGGGAAGCAGAAGACAGTCTGCTCTTTGCTCGATTTCTGTAGGAAACTCGAACAAAGTTTTCTGTAACTGGTTATTCTGCAGAGCAGCTGTGGACTCGTTATGTGGGTGGGTTGGTGGGGGCCTTAGGAGTGTTTTGTTTTTGTATGGTGGGGTTTTTTTTGTTTTATTTTAACTTCACTAAGTTATTTTCCCAAATAGATTATTTATTCCAGGTATTATCATTTCACGTGTTTCAACTACACGTCCTTCCTTATTTAGCTGATCACAGAATACTGTCATGTCAATTTATAATATAACATTCTCTGTTTGAAGTTATTCCATATGTTGAAGCTTTCTCTTTGATTTGGCTCCAAAAATAAACATGTAGGGTATGTTATGAATCTAATTGATATCTAAAATCTGGAATAGAATTCAAGATTACTGTTTTTAGCAGCTCTTCTGTTTAGTAAGTATCTGGTAATCCCTTTGGTGAATTTTTATCTCCTCCTAATTACTGAGCATGTACAGGGAATAACAGCTATCTGTGCTACTCGTTAACCATGTTAGTGATCAAAAGCTGGGGTTTTGGATGGGGAGGGAGGAGAAGGATTAAATGTCTCAGTTCTGCTAACATGTTATGTTATATTAACTTTTTCAGTTTTAATTCAAGTTTGTCCTGTGTCTAGAAAATGGTAACATTTAAGGTTAAATTAATAGTCTGTAGGTCTTTTGGGGGTTTCTTTTGATGGTGGTTTTTCACAAAGTCCATGCAATTGCACATAGAAGGTAGTGTCGGGCTGACACAAAGCCATGTCCCAGAATGTGCGAGCTGAATGTAGAGAGAGGCTCATAGGAGGAGAAGGGCAGCCTTTGGTGGAGGTAGTTGAGTTTTATTCTGGTGGATTTGATTATATCTCCATATCTGCCATGAAGTCCTCTTGTAATACTGGATATTGCTAAATTCAGTCTTTTGTGTGGGTGCAATATTTTTGGTGGATTTTTTTTTTTGTGATTGTCCCTTTTTAAGAAATTACTGTTGCCACGATTTTCTTCATGTGTAAGTTGGGAAACCTAGAACCTTATGTGTACAAATATCTAGTGTTCTCAGTTACAGTTGAAGCCAGTGTTGTCATAACTACTTTGAGTACAATGCTATGAAGGTGCTAAGAACTCTTCGGTATTTCTGTTCTATTCAGGTTAAGCTTTCAGAACAAATAAATTAAGTTCATAATTTTAAATTTTCTTCCAGTAAATAAATACTTGCAGTCACTTAAATATTTCAGATATTTATTCATACTTCCTTATTTTGTAGCCTTAGTATGATGGGAGTTCAGTTATCTCAGTTACAGTAAAGAGAATGCCACTAACAGAGAGTATTAGTTTCTACCTGCTAACTACTCACAAATGAAGCTACAACTAACGTTTAAGACCTGTGTTGTTAAGTAGAATAGGTTTCCTGTTGTTTTTTGTCTTTGCAGGTTTTTTGTTCTCAGTTTGGCGAGTTGTGATGTAGTCTAATTTTAAATGTAAGCTGGTTTTGGTATATCTGCATCTCATGCCATAAAGCACCTTGCATGGCTGAGATGCTGTGAAAGTAAGAATTGAAGCCTTATCCTTTTATTTTAGAAATGGCATCTGTTCTCTTACTTGAGAAGCCTTCACAGAATAACTCCACTGTGACCAGTTTAATTTTTGGGCGTGTCCGCAAGTGTTACGTGCAGTTTTGAGTAGTGCTAATTCTAAGTGTATGGTCTCATTTGAGTGGTAAAAGGAGGTTCTTTTTTTCCTCCACCACTTTAATTTTTTTTTTTTTATGACAGGAGAAAGAAGTAAAGAAAAATGAAACAAAAGAAAAATCACAAAAAAAAGAGTCTGAGAAGGAAGAGAAGAGCAGAAGAGAACAAAAGGGCCTAAAAAGTAAGTGCCAGTTGCTTAAAAGAGAGAAGGGAAAGGCCATTTGGGGCATACTCCTCTTATTTCCACCAGAGCAGAATTGTGTGTTTCTGTAATGCACATCAGAAACATCAATTTCTGCTTTTATTTTTAGCAAGCAGAAGTCTGCTATTTAATGGCTTTGTTGGTATGTTAAGAGTATGAAGCATGAAAGTAATCTCGAGTTTTCATAGACAACTCAAGATCTTGCCCTTTTTCATTTGGTATTGTCAACTATGCTTCCACGTTATGCTGGTGATGATAATCTTTTTGGAGGAATTCATCTAACTCTTGACCATTTTCAGTGGTGTATTGACAATGCAATGAATTTGCACTATGTATGTTTAGAGAAGGTGGTGGTTTCCCTTGAGGTGGGTTTCTTGCCTCTTGCTTTAGCCACGAGGATGAGTTATATTGTGTAAGCCTTACAGTATCACCAAAACAAGATGCTCTGAAATGTGAAGAAAAACGTCTAGGTTGTGTGCCTGTTACTTCAATTCTAAGTAGTATAGTGCAATATTAACGTTACCACTCCTGATCTCAGCAAAATTCTGGGTGGTTTTATTCAGGATACATTTTTTTACTACTCTGATGATGAATTGAGGGGGAGACTAGGTAACTCCACTTTTTGATTATGAATGGGTGTAGGAAGAACTATGGTGTGCCAAATGGCTGCTATTACGGAAAAATCTTTCACTTGAAGTAGAATAGATATTTACAATGCTTAAAAAAAGAATCGACAAACAGACTGAATACTTATTGTTCTTTACATAGCATGTGTCCTTTGTACATTCATCAGAAATATTGAATGATATTTTCAAAGTATTGATTTATGCATAATTCTAAATTAATATTTTTCTTTTAAAGAGAAGATAGTACTGTGTTCACCGCAATCAACTCAAGAGTTGCCAAGGTAGCCGAAGGCAAACTAGCTCTCTCTAATTTTGGTTTATGCTATTAAGCTTATTGCCGTGCTTAAACAATGATTAACCTCTGAAAAGGGAGTAGGCTTTTTAAAATGGACTCTAGTCACTTACTCAGACTTCATGATGCAATAGTGACTCAAATAATCACTCTTGGTATCTGTCTTTAAACTATATTCTAGGCTATAAGGACATCAAAAGTGCATTTGACTTGTTTAATGTAGCTTCAGAGGAAAAAAATGAATATTCTGAGAATAACCGTAAAAGAGAAGAATCTTGTCTAGACTATAAATTTGTGGAAGAATTAAAATCAAAAGACAGCAAGGTGTACAAGGAAAGGAGGAGTATAAGAGACGAGACAGATACATGGACTTACATTGCTGCAGAAGGTGATCGAGAAGTAGTGGATGTGTGTCAAATGGAGGAGAACTCTGGTGAGCAGTAGTGACAAACCTAAGGGAAATTTGAGCACTTGCATTTAATTTTTTTCTCCGCTCCTAGTTACGTCTTTTGGTGCTCCAGTTCTTGTCTCATGGGAGGCTCAAACAATGTTTTTATTTAAATTTCGCTGATAATTTTTCATAGTATGCACTATGTTTTTCCTGTTACAGTAATGGAGCGTTCATCATTTGTGAACGCTTCAGCCTAGTTTCTTAGACCAAATGAATGGGTGGTTTCAAGCAAAAACTTACTGTTGGCAGTTGCACCCTCCCCTCCCCCATTTTTTTTAACTTGCATTTTATGTCTCTCTGTAATGTAGCCTTCATTATTTGGAGCCATTCCGCACTGAATTTCGGAGTTAATTTGAATGAAAAAAAAAAAAAAAAAAAAAAAAAGGTCGCACTGCCGATCATTGAAGGAGTGGCAAGCAGTGAATGAGTTGGCAATTTATTAGTTACTTGTTACTTATTTTATGGTTTTCTTCTATAAAATCAAATATATGATAGATGGCAAGCAACAAGTCTTGAGTTTGGGTATGGACATGCAGTTAGAATGGCTGACACTAGAAGACTTTCAGAAGCATCTTGATGGAGAAGATGAGAATCATGTCTCAACAGAACCGATATCAAGTAGTGAGTAGTTGCTGGGAGGAAGGGATATTTCTTATCTGTCATTTCGAAGAGAAATATCCTATATCTTTATTAAATTTATTTTACAGCTCTCCTGAGGGATGCTGTTAAAAATGGAGATTATATGACAGTGAAGATGGCTCTTTCGTCAAATGAAGAATACAATCTAGATCAAGAGGTAATTCTTCTGGGGGGGGGGGCAAATTATTGAAAAAATACAACACAAATTTAGAATATTTTAAAAGATTTTCCCCTCCCTTGCAAGTAGCAGATTCCTGTCTCACCTTGTGAACATAAGCACAAGAGAAAAGGCAGAGTAGAATTTGAGGTTTCAATATTTGTTCCTCATTTCTTCTAAAGAAAAAGTAAAGCTTGACAAAAGTATCCCAATAGCCAGATTAGCAACAGAGTTGCCTGGTGGATTTAACTGAATATTAAATGTAGGACTCTACATGGTATGAGGTATGATGAAATCTGGCAGGTCAAGTGACTAAAATAGAAAAATATCTATACAAGCAAACAGAAATAGAATGTTCTGTTTGGCTGACGGGACCGCTTCACTCCATTTGAAATTTGATTTCTGCTGCTGCTTCATCTGCGCTGTGCTCTAATTGTTTTTTTCTTTCAAGGATCTTTTGAGATCCTTTCAAAGGAAATTCTGAGAATTAAAATCTTACACTTGCATTTTAACTGGTGATCTTGTTTACTTATGTTATGTAACATTTTGACCATAAATCATGCTAAAACTTCTGTTGGGTAGCAGTAAAGGTGTCAAGTGAATTACTGAGGCAAGTACGTGATTTTTGAACTGTAGTATCTGGTGGAAAATGCAAGAATGAGGAGACTGGCCACTCGGAGATCTCTTCATATTTATACTTGGATTAAATCTGAAAGCAGCTTTGTGATAGTAGCTGACTTAAGCCCACAAAAATGAAAAAAACCCTTTTGTTTCTGAATGTAGAGTACCTGAATATAAGTTGTCTTGGGGTGTTTTGTTTTTAAATAAATTTGAGCTATTGTCTTCATTAGGGATCAAGGAATGGAGACGTTTTTGTGGGTTTTTGTTTTGTTTTCTTTTCTTGGACGGCTGCCAGTTCTTCTACAGTCTTGTGGTTTTCCCACCCTCAAATACCATTCTGATCTTTCTTGTTGCTCTGCTCTTCAGAATATTAAATGTTTTGTGGGTTATGGGGCTCACAGTAAGGCCTGTAGAAGAAGAGAAGTAGGAGCTGATAGATTGTCAGTGTCTTGTCGTTATGTATGTGTGAATTCTTTTGTTTGGACCTTTTTTGTTTGTTTTTTGGTGAAATCTCTTGACGCGTTTGCAATTTGTTCTGCAGCTTTGATTTATGGCAATTGTTGTTGCAGGACTCAAGTGGAATGACCCTAGTAATGCTTGCTGCTGCAGGTGGGCATGATGACCTTCTCCGGGTCCTAATCAGAAAAGGAGCTAAAGTAAATGGTAGACAGAAGAATGGAACAACTGCATTGATACATGCAGCTGAAAAGGTTGGTTTCTTCATCATATTTATAGTTCTTGGCTGTCGTATTTGCATGTAAAACTGGTAACGAATTTAGATCCCACCCTCACTCTGCCCTTTGGATAACGCCTAAAATGTAGGCAGCTGGGCGCAGCAGGGTGACCTAAACTGCATAATTTAGATGGCTGTGGTTACTGTAGCGTAAAAAAAAAAGTTTAGAGACATCCTGTAGGTGATCCCAAAACCCTGCCCTGAGGAGGGACTATCATAGGGCTAGCTAGAAGGAAACATGAGGCAAATGGTAATTCTGAACTTATGCCTATCTTGGGGGCTGAAGGTCTTTAGAATTGTTTATTACGTTCTCTGGCTACACAGGATCTGAGCTGGGGAGACTTTGAGAGCAAATCTCTCATTAAGCAGGGTTTAATACTTGAGAGTAGGGCGATAGAGACGGTGGCAAGCCCTTCTCTCAAATTAAGACTAACTTGACTACTGATTTAAAGGATGTTTCACGGAGCGCACTTTTGTTGTTCAAGTTGACTCATTTGCTCTTAGGAGTACAGGAAATAGAAGGCCGAAAGGGAGCTTAATTCCAGTTTGGTGATTAGGGCAGACCTGTCTTCTTCCGGGGGTGTTTCTTATTACGGGATTTAGAAAAAAGTAAGAACTGTAGATACTCCAGGCCATCTACTTGCCTGAGTATAAATTGCTCTTTATGAGCAATAGGAGAGAACAACGTTAATTGTGTCATGGCTCGTGTTTTGGATTTTACTGATGGATGTTAAATAAAGGTTTTCTTATGTTCTGAAACCAAAACACAAAATATTCTATACTTACTTGTGTTGTGATTTTGTTTTTTAAGAATTTTCTAACCACAGTAGCTATTCTTCTGGAAGCTGGGGCATATGTGAACATGCAGCAGAGCAGTGGTGAAACTGCCTTAATGAAGGTAAATTCAGTCCTGACGTGGTTTAATAATAGATAATACTTGGCCTTTGACAAGCTAATGGAGGGCTGAAGACATAGGCTCATTTCCAGAGTTGGTTTAGTCAGGGAACGTGTGCTACGTTTGAAATAGAAAATTACTCTTAGTTTTTCCAGCCGGTGCATTGATCCATCTTTTAACATACTACTTCAAGCAGTGGCTCCACATGCCGTCAACACAGTGTTAAATGTAGTTCATCATCTTCTTCCACTGTCTGGGTCTGGGGTGTGGTCTTAAAACTAAGATAATCTGTTTGTTAGCAGGAACACAAAAAACTCCAGAAGGGAGCATCTCTCACCTGGGAGATGCTGTGATTGTAAATTGGATCTCTTACTGGGATCCTGGGATGAAGAGACTCTTCTGTGCTCTCCGTACACACACCCTAAAAGAAAGAACACTGTATTTTGTTGTACTGGGAAAATGTCAAGAGCTTTAAAAGAGTCTTTGTTCTTCTTACTGGTTTCTAATTTTTGGTGGAATTATCTGATATTAAAATTCCCCTTCCTGATAAACTTACTGCAAAAGACATTACAAAAAATTTTCTGTCCAAGATGGTAACGGTGGCGGTTCTCTCTTCCCTTCCGCAAGGCTTAGCAAGCCTAGGGAATTCACATCTTCTGTAAAGAACAGTCATGATAGGCTTGTGGTGACTGGGCTCAGTCACTTTAGCCCAGATTTTTCAGATTTCTGGCTACCTCCATGAACCTCTCTTTTGAGCTTTGCAGGTTTTGAAGGCGTGTTTTTCATGTTTAATGCATGGCTATACATACCGCTAATGGGCTGCCTGCAATTATTTATTCTGGATACTTGTTTTGCTGTGCAGGTGCGAAGGACAGGGTCTTTGTTTCCAGTAACTTACTGGTCAAGTGTTAAGTGTGTTTATCAAGTCACTTTTATAAAACCTTATGTGTTGGATCTTACTTTAAAAAAGTTGTGACGCTTTATTCCTTTCTATGAGGATTTTTTTATTTACTTTTAAGATTATGGATAGAAAGCACAGCTGAAAGTTCACATGTGAAACAAATGGCCAGTTACCTTCTGCAAGGCCTCATGAAGACAGAAATCTCTGTTGTGCGTTTTTCTAATTCTTTTGAATTACCTACTTGAAAACGAGCAGCCAAGAGTACTTGCGTTCCTCAAAGCAAGGATTTCTTTAGGCTTTCCTGTACCATTGTCAAGACCTCAGTTGAGATGCCTTGAAATTCTTGCAGACAACACTAAAAGCCGTGGACGCTTAACGCTGTTGGTACAGTAACTAACGTTTAAATAATAGCTTGGGGCACGTTGTCTTAACTTACTGTACATCTGAAGTCGCATTTGAACTGAGACTTCTAGAAACAGACACTTTAAAGTGTTACTTTAGTCATTCTGAATACTTTACAGAAACCCATTTATTTTGGTTAACAGTCGTAAGAAACTTTGTAGTTTCTATAGACTAGCAGAATACAGTCGTCTTTATAGATTTTTTGTTTTGTTGTTGTTCTTCCCTTTTTGACTTTACATTTTTTTCTCATTAAGTGCATTTGGGAACCCTGAATGTTGATACTTCTGTGGAATCCGGTGTGTAGTATTGCCTGGATAAAAATAAAATATTTCTGCAGTGTGATCCTAAGTTCCAAGTTCTGTTAGCTTTTAAAGGGTGAATGCTTTAAGACGTCTTTTCTGAACTGTAACTAATTGTGGATATTTTTTTTTTTAAATTCACTTCAACTATTCTGCTTTCTTCAACGTTTTGGTTTTATTTTAAAGGGATTGTTGTTGTTGTCCATTCTTCCCCATTGTACTCACTTTCTGCACAGGCCTGTAAAAGAGGAAATTCTGATATTGTGCGACTTATGATTGAAAGTGGAGCGGACTGTAACATTTTGTCAAAGCATCAAAACAATGCACTTCATTTTGCTAAACAGTGTAATAATGTACTGGTATATGAGCAGCTCAAGAGTCATCTGGAAACGTAAGTAAACTGTATTTTGAATTTTGTGTGTGTTCTGGTAAAGTTTGAAATATTGGACGTGTCAGTTTTGGTTTAAGTCATGGGGGGGGAAGGGGTGATGTCAGAAAAGAACACAGATCTAAGGGCAGGAAGCTAACTAACAAGTGATGTGAAATGGAAAGGTGAAAAGGGGAATTGCTGGAAGTGAAAGACATTCTTCAAACTAGAAATACAGCAAACAGGAAAATTTTTGAAGTGCATAGACACAAGACAGTTCAATGTAAATTCTTATTAAGAACTCACTAAATAAAGCAATTTGCCTAAAAGCATTAAAAATCGATGAGGAATTTTCTTCCCTCCCCCCCCCCAAAAAAAAAAAAAACATGAAAAGTCTGAAGATAGGAGATAAAATTTAGATGCTGTTGACTATTTACTCAGTTTTGAGCTGAGGGTTCAAGAACATCATGCCAGAGAGGTGAAGCTTTCAAGACAGTAAATGATGGAAGTAAAAATCTTAATCGTTCAATAGAATGACTTAAGAGCTGTGCAGTGTAGGTAGAATATGGAGTGTTCATGTGGTATGATCATGTAAAATACACTGAATTGATTGGATGCCAAAGGGAGACAAAAATAGATGAGGAGGAAGAGTAAGCTCCTCCTTAAATATCAATTTAAAAGTATACTCATGAGCTAACCTATTAGGTCAGAAGATCTTAACCAAGAGTTTCTAAACTTGGATAAGTATTTAAAGATGATCTTAGCGCTTCCCTTTACTATTTGATGCCTTTTCCAGTTCATTGCCTGTTCAAAATCTGTCATCTTCAGTTTTGACTATCCTGAAGAATGAGCTTTGGAAGATCTTGAACTCATAATATGAATAATTATCTGAAAACATCAGTTCCGTGCTTCTTGTCAGTCAAAAAGGAAAATAATATAGTAGGAGAGGAACTGAAAATAAAATGTAAATCCATGGTGCCCATGTTTCTTAAATAACACGTGCCATTGCAGTCGCCGTGTTTCAAACACAAATGAAGCGTTTGAAGGGGAAAAAAGCTGGAAGGGAAGGTAAAGATGATCGGAGATAATGGAAGTGAGTAGCTTTCGTAGGGATAGGCTAAGTGAGGCGGAACATGTCACCTTGGAACAGACTGAAAGATCACAATGTAAAAAAAGAGAATACTTTAGAAGTCCTCCGTCCAGTTAAATGATTAAGTGACAGGCTTGAGGCAAAAATATTTTTGCACAAAACAATTGAATTATGGATCTTGCAACTGTAGAAAGTTTAACTCAAATACATAGCGGAGTTCAGAAGGGATTAAGCAGGCCAGAAGAGAGGTATGATCTGAGTGCACTCTGATTTTGGATGTCTGAAGAGCAGTGACTGCCGGAAACCAGGACACTGTACCAAGAAAAAGACAACTTTTATAACTTCCCATATTGTTTATACTGTTTCCTCTAGCATCTGGAAATAAAAGTAGATAGGCGTTCCAAGCTGGCTTTGATATGACAGTTCTTGTGGTTTCTTTCAGCTCAAACACTTCAGTTTTAGGTTCCGGAGATGATAATCTCAACTAGCATAAAAGGGAAGAACGCTCTGAAAAATAGCTGAAAAAGCTATAAAGCTGAGAGTCAGGGCCTCCAGAGTTCCAGTTACAACCTTTGCCTTGAAAAAGCGTTTAAAACCTGTTTGTATGAAAAAAGCCTTCCTAAAAGGATTACTTCATAAACCTGCTTGTAAAAGTGACAGTTACTATTGGTTAGATGTGGACTCTCTTTTGAAGGCTAAGTTGCCTGCTCAAATTCAAAAAAACAAAAAAAAAAACCACCCTTTAATTTGGCTCCATCTGGCCATTGGCTTTTTAATGATAGTGTTACTACTTTTAAACTGCTTTTAAACTGCATTTTAGTAGAGTTTAATTGGGAATTGCATTTCTGCCAGCTTAGTATCATCAGTAAAATTATACAATGTTTTATTTATTTATTTATTTATTTTTATTTATACATTGTACTTGCAGTCAGGTCAGCGCAGCAGCCATGCTGGGGAGGCAGCTGTCTATTTCTGTGCAGCAGAATCTGTGTTGCAATACAGCAGAATCAGTCTGACTGTACAGATCAATGTTTCAGGGACACCTTTCTACATACAGTTTTCAAAGCCTGTGGCTAGTGAGAATTTTTGGAATCTGCTGCAGTGCGCTTGTCTCAGACTTTTATTTTCGTGGACCTGATAGATGAATTTCACAAACAGATCACTGATAAAATGTTTTATTAATAAAGTATCAGGACCTGGGGTTCATCTATGCATAAATGCTAATGATGAAGGCATTCACTCCTGAAATCAGGAATCTAAAACAGGTAATCTGGAATCCTTTTTTGCTTCAGCTCTCGTTAAATCTCTGTCTGGTAAAGTAATTTTAGTATATGAAGTACAAGCCTCACTTGTTTGCTTGTTTAGGCTCTCAAGAGTAGCCGAAGATACCATCAGGGATTATTTTGAAGCTCGTCTTGCTTTGCTGGAGCCAGTCTTCCCAATCGCATGTCATCGTCTCTGTGAAGGGCCAGACTTTTCTACGGATTTTAACTATAAACCCCCACAAAATGTGCCAGAAGGTAGTTCCAAAAAAAAAAAAAAAAAAAAAAAAAAAAGTAGAAAGAATAGTGTGTTTGGAAACTTCTTGTCTGCCTTTCCAATATTTATACATTGAGGGTGCTGTTTATAATCAAAGACTGTGGATTGTAGGAGTTGATAGTGGGAGGTACTGTTTTAGGGAGAAGAGGAGCAAAGTTTTGATGCATCGTGAGTGGGTTTTGTGTGTTGCTTCCCCACCTCCAAGAGTTGGTGCTGTCACACAGGGCACCTTCTGCTGTTTATGGGTTATACTGGCTATATGACAAGTATTATAGGAAAGGAGTGGTTTACCTTAAAAAGAACAATTTTGAAAAATCTTAATTAAGAGCATGCTCCAAAAAGAAAGTAGTGGATCATCCTCTTTGTGTACGGTACCTAACACGCTGCTGTCCTGGGAGTATAGTAAGGGCGCTCTTACTCTTACTATACTTCTACAGTACAGAAGTACTGTAAGGGCAATCTTACAGTACTTCTTACAAAGGCAGTCTAGAAGTACTGTAAAAAACAAGCCAGTGTCAGTTTGCTGTTCGGAGACAGTCAGCTCCGTTTTGTCCTTAGGCCCCTGTGAAAAGCTGTGAATCGTGTTTTCAGGACGTTTTGGAACGTTTCCTCATTCTGTCAGGAATCTGGATAGCAATCTCTGCTCAGCTTTGGGGGATGGTTTTTTTGCCTTTTGAGTTTATCAGGGAAGGAGAATCATTATCTACTGATACTGATTTTTCTCTAAATAATACATTACTGTGACTGAATTGTGGCTTAAAGGTTGTAAGTGGTTGAGTTGGTCCATTTTTCTATTTAGGAACTGGAGTATGAGTTTCAGTGTTTTCCAATTCTTGATTAAATATGCTTTATAGAATTAAGGAACATTATATTTGTTCATGGGTTAAGAGAAACTTGAGGTATTTAAGGGTATTGAAGATTCTTGCTCGTTAAATTTCAGTTCCTAAAATCTGTAATTGTTGAGATTCAGTTTCCCTTCCCAAGAGAAAACACAGCCCAGACTACATTAAATTTTACAACTCTCTCTAGACAAACCTATAAACATGGAGGTGAAGTACACATGAGAATTGCTATATCCGTTTTGCTTTTTCATCTAGTAGCCACATAAAACTGTTCCTGCTGTTGGAAGACCTTAACTTAGTGACAAAGGCAGTTGCGCTCTGAGCCTGGGTTGGGAGACTGGAGTTCTGGTAGTTCTGAACTGCGTTATTGCTTTGATGCTGCATCAAGTTCAATATTTATGCTAAAAAAAAAAAAAAAAAAAGATTTGAAAGTGTCCAGTGCATTGCCTTTAGTATGTAGTGTGCAGTGCTGTGTAATTTTGAAAAAAATTCCAGCTCTTCAGAAATGACAAGGGGCTACAGTACCTGTGTAGGTTGTCTTCAGAAATTGTTCTAAATTCTGGGTCTTCTTTCAGGGTCATATGACTTACTTGTCTTCCCTTCCTAGGATCTGGAATTCTTCTGTTTGTTTTCCATTCAAATTTCTTTGGTAAAGAAGTCATTGCTCGACTCTGTGGACCATGCAGTGTGCAAGCTGTGGTTTTAAATGATAAATTCCAGCTTCCTGTATTTTTGGTAAATCTTCCCATATAACTAATTGAGTATAAACTGCTTTATAAAATCTTTATAGAACAACCTGGCTTCCTGGATTTTGAGTATTGTAATTGTAATATTGCAGCATTTGCTTGTCACATTGGGGGTGGGGGTGTTACATGAAGCTTGATTTTTTTCTTTTTATATACAGCGGAACTGCAAAGCTTGCAGATATCGGATTCCATTTAAAAAATTATGCCTTAAAAGGCAGGGACATCAGAATTTAAGGTATGAGCAGGCAGATGAGATTTCTGAATTTAAAAGCTCTTTTACTTCTCAAATTCACCTAGCCTCTCAAATTTTTGACCCAAGTTATTTCAGTGTAAGTACTTTGTATTGTTTTAACAACCTTCCTCATATTTCTAGTGATTTCTATTTATATTTTTTCTGTTAAATGCATCATTATGCACACTTTTTAAAGTCCTCTTATTTTTCTCTGTGGTTGCACCAAAGGGTCTTTACAGTATTCAGGACTTTTTTTTCAAAAATGCGTAGGTTGAATGCCATGTTCTAGAGTCTGCTCATATAGCATGTTTGGCCACATCCTGTCATTAACTTGCTCCTTTTCTTTCTTTTTTTCTTTTAGGATAGTCACTTTATTTATTCCTTCAGCCCTACTGCAGGCCTTAACAAGCTTTTTATACGGTTGGCAGAAGCTCCTACTGCCAAGGTACAAACTGCTCTCAAAATACGTATGTTAATTTGTTGTGCAGTAACTCCTCCGTAGTCTTAAGTGCTTCTAGTTGTATGTTGTAAATGTAAAACTACTTAGGATTTCTCACTTTCTCCTCAACCCTGTTCCCGTTAGTTAAGGTTCTGTCTGGTGAGGTTGGCAGAACTCAGATAGGAGCACTACTGAGGAGAATGTTAGTGCCATCTTAAGTAAACATGTTCCTGCTGTAGCGGGAGCAGTTATTGAGCCAAGATAAAGTAATGTTATAGTTGAAAATTCTTTCTGTCTGTATTGCAAATTTAACAACTAACAGATGCATGGAGTGTCAGTTGTCCTTCTGCATGTAGCAGCAGACACTCTGCTTCTGTGATTAGAAGAACTTGGAAGCACTTACTTAAAAAACGCAGTATGCTTTTAAATAGTCTGCATAACCATGTTGTATGCGTTCAGATAATTTTGGCAGTAGTCCCAAGAGATGTTAAAAGATGATTTAACAGGTCCTGTTGTGGTAGCACTATTCACAGAAGAAATACCTGTAAATTCTCTAGATCTTCTGAATTAAGACTTCCCCTACTCTTAAATTTTTTTACTGTACTTGAACACTTTTTAAGTAATACTAAGTCATCAGTATACATATGCGAATAGAAGTGTACATGTATGTCTCCAGAGTGGGAGTCAACTGTTTAAACACCTTCCACTAACGTATGTATTTGAATTTTTTTCCCAAGCCTGTCTGTCTGTTTAGTGAGTACAGATTGTAAGCAACTTTTGCTTGCTCAGCCACTAGCAACCTTTTCTCGTGCTATTCTTAGGCTGGCAGAGGTTTTTAACACAGGTACGTGAGAACAGTTTTTATATGCAACCTTTGTTTGCTTTTACAGGTAAAGCTGCTAATAGGAGCCTACAGAGTGCAGTTGCAGTGACCTCAAAGTTGCAAGCGTGTTGAACAGACTGACTTTTTTTTGATATACTTCTGATTCCTATGTTTAGAGACTGACAAAGCAGTTTGGAACTTTTTGGCACCACACTCTTGAGACTAAGTCCCATCTCACTGTCCTTCATTGGCAGTCATATAGGAAAGTATGTGCTGGGGAGCAGGTGAACATGCTACACTGGTGGGACAGGGTTGTCAGTTTTTTGGGTGGTGTTTTTCTCTTTTTTACTTTGTACAGATGTAGATGTAAGTATTTGTGCCAATACATATAATTCTGTTTTTCTTTAACTTGTGGAGTCCAGACTGCGTATTTCAGCTTTTCCACAATGTGGAATGGTGCATATAAGAACTATTTAACGTAACTACATGAAATGTCTTTTTTAATAGAAAAATCTTTTCCATTTGTAAACTAAAATTTTCTACTTGTCCTAACTGCAATGTTTCTATGTAAAATGCAAAACTGTCATGTTCTTAGAGCTGTGGGCAGAGCTACCGTTTGAAGTTACGGCATTAGACTTGACTGTGAGTTGCTAGGGGCTGTGTTCCGCTTTGAAGCGTTTTCTACTGTGAGAAAGCAGTTATGCTTAGTGATTCCCTTTAGACAGCCACAGTTAAGTCTGTTTGCAGGCATGAACAAAAAGATCTGAATAGGCTTGATTCTTAGAGGATCACAGTGGGAATCCTAGTTATATCAGTGTTTTAAAACTACTTTTGTATTAGAGAAGCAACTGATAGTTCTACAGTTATCTTAACTTCTGAGTACTTAGTCAAGTGACAGATGGGAGAACAAATACAAGCTGAAAACAGTAAACCAGAAAACTTGTACCTACTTTAAATGTGCAGGCAATGCTTTTTGTAGACAAAAAGATACACAGAGGATTTCAGATATTCTAAACCTGACAGATAAGAACGTGTATTGCCCTCGAATTCAAATATTCAGTTCCTCAGTGCAAAGAGCTGCTATCTTTTTTTTAATTTAACTGACCTATTTTATCAGCTGACAGCAGTTCTGTAACGGTTCTGTGCTATAAAATACAAATGTAAAACTTCTGCATGAAGTATAGAAATTTTTTTTTTTGTTTGTAAATTAAACAACCTCTTGAAAAGTAAAAAAAAAAAAAAAAAAAAAATCCAGATTGTGCCTTTGCTGTTCTGGTTGCCAGGTGTAGTTTACATGCCGCTATGTGCCTATATTGTTAACAAAACTATTGTGGATAGATTCTTACTGCATTTGAGTGTTCACCATCAAAATGGTGCAAATGTATTATGTATCCTTTTAAAAACTGTGACTTTTCAATGTAAAGTTCAATGAACCAATTTTTAATTTTTGGTTCTTAGAAGTTTAAAACTTTCGTATTAAGAGATGCCAAATTACAATAACTAAGCACACTATTTCTATTTTGTGGAATGTCACATTAAGCTAAATAAAACTAGAACAGCAACATGACATATAAATACTCACTTCTACTTCCATTTAAAATAGCTGCCTATCTTTTTGCTTAAACAGTATTGATATTAACAAGTCTGGTTTTGAACAGACTTGTTACCAACACCTCTTTTGAAATATGCTAAATACCTCATTGTTTTGCTAAAGCCTAAACACCTGAGATTCAAGAACGAGCACTGGTTGAGAATCAGGTATGTTCACTACCAGCACTTGGGAGTTTTGTGTAGCTGCATTTCTTTGTAGTCACTGTTCATGAATTTTTAAACTTAGGTATCATGAAATAATCCTGAAAGATAAATAAGGATAGGGTATATTCTTAAATGTTTTCATATATTGGAGTGACAGTTTTCATGTATTGTGATTACCCATTCCTCAGTTATTCCTGCATTGTACATTTAACAGTATAGTGTATGTGCGATAAATTGTGTATAGTACACCTCAGTGATAAGTTTGAGTTGTTCAAGGACTGTAAAAGGTGGGAACAGAAGGTTTTTGAACAAATGTCCATACAATAATTTAGCGGCTATTTAGATACTGTTGTACAGTCTAACCTAAAAAATTAAGTAATGCTCCAAGAGTTGTCATAGTAACTAGTTTGTCACAGGTTGTATTTGAGGCTTGAGGAAGAGAGGGAGGAATTTTACGAGCAAGAGGACTAAAATTGAGTTCATGATGCTCTTATTTAAGGGATGGTTTTTACAGCCATCTCTCTCTTTGGTTGGTGATACAAAGATCCCTGCAGAAGATGCATAAAAGGCTTACTGAAAAGGTGTTTGAAGCTGTTGTGTCTAATTTACTACATGTTCTTACCCAACTGCTAAGAAAAAGTTTTGGTGGTCAAAGAAAGAAGAGAAAGTAGCTACAATAAAAGCCAATTCTTTAGGCACTCTGGAGAAATACTTCTGAAGTATTTACTCAGTTTCTTCTCGCTGCTATCAGCAGAGCAAGGCAGCTGGGGTAACTATAAACTGCCATGGCAATAAATTGTTCTGAAGGCTTGCATTCAGTACTTGCGTTCCTGGCTTGCTTCAGAGATACTGGGAGTTGGTGGATGGTGCTAGCTGACTTTCTCACAGGCTTTTTGGGCTTTGAGCACCCGTTTTAAAAAGGAGGAGATGTTTTATGATCACTCTGGATGGAAGAAAGCTGTTTCAAGACATAACCGGAAAAGTTAATGAGTCCCTGAGACAGTACAGTCTGCAGCAGCAGTCTCAACCAGTTAGGATTGTTTGAAGTATCTGAGGACTGTCCTAATAAATTCTAGTCTACACACCTTTACTGGGAGCCATTTTTATTTATTTATTTTTTAGACTTTGGGCCAAACTACTTTATGATATTATCTTTAAGATAAGTCTTGGGCATTCTAGGAATGGATCTTTTTCTGCTATGTTAATATCAATCCTGCTCCATTAGTGTTGTAGATGTTTTCAGTAAGGTGAAATACTGAGAAGGGACACAAAAATCAGTCTTCTAGCTGTACTAATGATTTTAAAACGGCTGTTTCCAACTTTCATGGTTCTGATTTCAACATCTCCCTTTCCTTAAAGTATTGGAAAATATCCAGTATAAAATCTCTTCCCCTTGGGTCAGTCGTCCAGACAGCTGTCTGTCTATCATGGGAGCATAGATGGAGCTGCTGTAGGAATGGCATCATGCAGGTACTTCAGTGTCACTTTTTTAGGAAAGATACAGGGATGATCTCAGCTTATAAATGTTGATAATGGCCTTAGGCAACTACCCCAGAGTACAGATAGCTGTTGAAATCCCATAGGGTCTTTCAAAAAAAGTAGGCTCTATTGTTGCACCATGCCGCAGGAACACGTGCAGGACTGGGAAGCAGGGGGTGGGGGTTAGCTCTTCCTTCTGGAGAGAGTGCTGTAATGAGGTCTTATTCTTTATAGCCCAGAATGTGAAAGAACTATGAAGAACACCTTTTTTTTTAAGCTGCAGGTGCAGTATGGGCATGAATGGCAAGCTGTGAATCCTGCCACTGTGCCAAGGTATAGTTTTCCTTTATGATGTCCTTCATACAGAGGAAAATGTTTTTTGGATCCTGAACCTGCCTATAATCACTGATTTCCACCACCCCCCCCAGCTTAGGGAAAAAATTATGAAAAAACAGACAAAAGAAAGACATCAGTGGTCCAGACAGCATGAAGTACACATTTAAAGAGGACTGAGTTAGCAGTGAAAATTAAGGGGGGGAAAAAAAAAGAGAGACTTTACCTCTTCCTTCCTTTTCTTACCAAAAAAAAGCAGAACATGCTGACAACAAGGAAAGAAGGGTGGGGGGGAAAAAAAAAAAACCTCCTGGGAAAAAAAAAGGGGAGGGGGCAGCAATAAGTGAGGAACAGAGGACAGTCACTGTTCCACTTAGCTCAGCGTTGACTGCAAATGCTCTTTTTGCCTTAGTGAGAGACTTCAAAGGCTCAGGTATTTTACAGCACTGCTATGAAACACAGAATGGTTGAGGTCAGAATGAACCTCTAGAGATGACCTAGTGCCTGGAGGGGCAGCTAGAGCATATTGCCCAGGATCACATCCAGACGGGTTTTGAATATCTCCAGCGAAGGAGACTCCACCACCTCTCTGGGCAACCTGTTCCAATGCTCAGTCACCCTCACAGTGAAGAAGTTTTTCCTCAGGTTCAGATGGAACTTCCTGTGGTTCAGTTTCTGCCCATTGCCTCTTGTCCTGTTGCTGGGCACCACGGAGA